ATATTACAAAATTTTATAAGCTTACATAAACAAATCAAATTGAGAAGAAAGCTGTGGCCCAGGTCTTTTGCATTTTTAACACTTCAATTATGAGGGGAACAATCCTTTTTTCCAAATTCGAACAAGGCCAAGGATTTACAAATCAAAGAAAGAAAATGTTATAAATAAAAATCTTCACTAATTTAGATTCATACTATCACTATTGATGTGTCAAAGAAGAGATAAATTCACGAAGGTGCAAGGATCATCAACAGAAGACATAGTTATTTGATTAAGAAAAGAGTTGTCAAATCTCGGTTAGATACTAAACAAGTCCTTTCAAAGTATAATATGCTTTAAGTTTGATTCCATAATTAGAGGGAAGATCTAGTGAAAGCAGCCTGTGTTCAAGTGAGAAATTTTGAAAGAAACTCATTGGGAGAAATCTAAATAAGAGAAGTTCATATAACTAAGTTAAACTTGCAAGTTAACCATAAAAATCAATATGGTTTATTAATTTCATAAGATAAAATGTAAAGCTAAAGGCAAAACTGATTTTTGAAGTAGCAGTGAGGATGCAATTGAATTGATTGTGATGAGTTTACCCATCAGACCTGAGTGAAAGGAATTTTCTTCGTAAAAATGTAATTGAGGAACTATATGCAATTATAGTGAAATTAAGAAAGAGATTCCTATCCATCTATTACATATTGATCTTTCCATGTTACTTTCCTAGCATGGTGAAAAAGGAAATGATGAATAGAAATATGAAATTTATAAGTTATGGACACTTTGATAGTTATTTACAATGTGAGGTTAACTGTGCTTTTACTTCAAAATGAATTGAATACCACATTCCGCTTTAACTATTTACTTTATCCTCCCCTTTCTCTTTTTCATTTGTTTTTTCTTTTTTCTTTTTTTTTTTTCTTTTTGTTTGGTTATATCCTAATAACTGAGTCTTTAGCTTTAATGTTTAAATTCTCCATTCAGTGCTCTATACACTCTAACAATGAAAACCAGTAATGGTATAGAATAATATACCTCTGGCATTTTGATATGGAAGTCCTCAGCCAATAAATGATGCATGGGCATGGACATCATATACTCCCTCTGCTCTCATTACGATTTAGCCAATTTTCTTCTGGATCCTCCTGTTAATACAATTAGCAGCAAATGTATCTAATAAGTATCACTTGAGAATCATTATATATATAGCATATCACTTAAGAATCAGGCAGAGCTCAACCTTGTAATGCTAATTGATATGAGACCTATAGAGTAAAGAAATATCTACATGACGTGAGAAGTGACATGAAATTCTTTGGTCACATGGAAAATACAGACAAAATACATGCCAGACTAAAAGAGACCAGAAACTGGAAATAAAGCAGAATGTAGATCAATTGATCTGTAGAAAATTGCCAGCACATGTACAACACCAATTTGTTTTGGACTTCATCAACAAGTTTTCTTAGCATCCCCTTGCTGAGGAATAATAGAATGCAAATCTAAAGTCATCTATATAATTAAAAGACCTGCCTCCAATAACAGATTCAATAATAGAACATTAAGGTCATTAATGATGTAATTAGGCTTACCTTTGAATCATTTTCATCAAAGACTTCTCCAACAATCTCCTCAACCACATCTTCAAAGGTTACCATCTTCTCCATCAAAAAATCAGTACATAAATATATAAAATTAATTAGTCAATAAAATGAGCACAAATACTATTAAATAAGCAATCCAAAAGAGAGAAAACCCATGCATCGCAAGTTCTAGACTTTTTGTGTTCTCATGCTGCATATTCCACTCTTATCTGAACTTTAGAAGAAAAATGATTTCAAAACATATGAGAGAGTATTTGAGTTTCATCTACAGGGAACTCCTATTTGTTTCGTTCACCATGTTGAACCTGAAATAAATGTTACGTGCCAAAGTTTGGAAGTTGTAAAATTTGAGTAACATACTAATACTAGGTGCAAGCTCATGAGTTAAGGTATTGAGGGGTCATACTAACCATTTTAGATTTTAAGCTGTCAGCTCATTATCCTGGTTGACCTTTTACCATCATACGTTCCATTGAGTTTATGTTATGGCATTTGGATGCCAACAAACAATGAACAAATACTACTTTAAGTGGGCACAAAGAACATGCTAATAAAGAATAAGGTTTTGTCTTTAGGACTTCTAGCTCCAACTGAAAAAATTTTGTTTAATTTTTTAGCCTCTTAGCAGGGAAAGCATGGTCAGCATCAGACTCTAGGACAAAGTTGAAAATATCACAAATGTTGTCCCTTATTGTTTCAAGATATTACAAGTTAGCATAAGTTGACATGCGACACAAAATAAAAATATAGAAAATGGTAGAAGTTGGCACTTTATCATAACAAAAAACCTCAACACAATGGGTGATTCTGCTTAGGTAAAGATTCAATAAAAGGCTTTGCACAGACCTCAACAGTTCCACCATATTCATTAATAACAACAGCCATGTGAACCTTCTTCATCAGAAACACTCTAAGAAGATTCTAAACTGAAATTGAATATGCAAAACCAACTTTCTAAATTTTACCGTATAGATAGTTGAAGCATTCTATTTTTTCCATTTTCTTTTCCCCTAGACAATAACTACTAAAACAACAAATAAGTCTAATGAAACAGGGTCTTCTGCACTTCCATTAATTACAAAAATTAGAAAAGAAATGACATCTTCACATAAAATGTGGAAAATAAGGTGTGAAAATGGGGTAATAGCAATTAAAAAAGAAAAAAAACTATGCAACTACCTCAATCAACCAATGGATACTGTCATGAAAAGCTAGAAAGTCTCAACCCAAAGAACATCATTAAAATATCAACTAGAGGAAAAAAGTCAAGGGTTACCAGGCACAAAGTAGGCAGGTTTGTGAGCCATGTCTCCCATAGTAGAACTTTCAAGTTGCTCACCCTTCACTAGTTCCCAAAAAAAGAAACAAAAATCAAAGTGATTGCAAATCTGCATGCTATGATACTGACACTGTTGCATATAATTGATAAGAAAAGATCTAATGATGGAAAAAAAGGTGTGTCAAAGGAACAAATTGCCTGACCTTCCGAGCAAAATCAAGTACATCCATTGCATATGCAATGCCAACTATATTTTCAACACGCTGCTCAAAAACAGGTACCTGTAAACAGAAATCTTTTAACAAGTTTCTTGAAGGAGATAAAGCCTTAGAGATGAATTACCAATTCCCTACCTTGAATATTGGTGAGTCACCCATGGATGGTGAAAATCAACAAGAGTTGCACTCGCATCAATTGCAACCACATCAACAAGGGGTGTCATGACCTCTCTAACATGAGTATCCTTGATTTCTAATACAGTTTCAATCATATCCTGCAAGGAATTCATAAAATTAGAGCATCTGGACTATAAACAAATAGATAGGCACCTGTTGGCAAAAAAATTAAATTGGATTTCCTCTAGAATCTGACTATTTAAACAGAAATTGGTAGAGAAATATATGGCAAGAAAAAGATATGCTCTACTGTAAATGCGCAACCAGAGTCAAGCATAGATGATACCGATCAATTTCATCTCAGTAAAAGAATTTTTCTAATTCTTATTTGCAACAAAAGAGACACTCAAGCAGGTACAATAGAGAAAAATTAGCTTATTTCACTACATGCTCTTCCTCCTCTGTTGCTCCGCTCAACTTTGCCCCACGTAGCATCAGCTTTAATTCATCTTCAGTAAGATAAGGTTCACTAATTTAAAGAGAAAACATGCAAAGCATTCATAAAGCAGTCAATACAAACTTACACTAACAAACAACTGGAAACAAGAAATGCAATAGACGAAATGGAGGATGTGATTTCCTTATTCCCATTAATAAATAAGTAACAATTCTTCCCACTAGATGTAGTATCAAGGAAAGCCATGCCACTAGCCTGACCTAATGACACATCAAATGACGATAGCCAAATAATTTTAGTTTGCTAGGAATCATCAGCTAAGTAGAAAAGAATTAAATAGCAACATAGACCATGGAGTTTTAAAGAGAAAGTTAAAGTTTTTTAGCAAAGTTTTAGTTGCATGTTCAAGAAGAAAATGGAAACTTAAATGGAAAACTTA